GCATCTGGTATGTTTTGAATGTCAAGCTCATGGGATTTACGGGCTTGTTAAGGGCTATGGCGAGGGGCCAGCCAGCCTAGAAGGTTCTGGTCGCAGCAGAGGCTCCTTGAGCTGGTGGCGTGCTCTGCGGGGGGCAGAGAACCTTGAACCAAAACGAGGACTACTGCTTCCTCCCTCGGTTTATTTTGTAGCAGAGCCTGATGTGTTAAACACGGTGTCAGCTGTCAGACAGCTAGCCAGCAGGGTGACACCTTTCCGAGAATGGTGTGTGTGGTGGTCTGGTCTCCTCCCTCGTGTGGGGAATTTGTCTCCCAGGAGGGCCTGGGTCTGGGGACCTTCTGGGGCTGGAGGGATGGCAGGAGGTCACCCCGGGCTTGCTGCCTTCTCCGGACCCCCCCAGCCTGTCTTCCCCCCCCTGGCAGCGCCTGATCGACAAGACCAAGGTAACCTACCTGAAGTGGCTGCCGGAGTCAGAGAGCCTCTTCCTGGCGTCGCACGCCAGTGGCCACCTGTACCTGTACAACGTGAGCCACCCGTGCGCGTCGGCGCCTCCGCAGTACAGCCTGCTGAAGCAGGGCGAGGGCTTCGCCGTCTACGCCGCCAAGAGCAAGGCGCCCCGGAACCCACTGGCCAAGTGGGCGGTGGGCGAGGGGCCGCTCAACGAGTTCGCCTTCTCCCCCGATGGCCGCCACCTGGCCTGCGTCAGCCAGGACGGCTGCCTGCGCGTCTTCCACTTCGACTCCATGCTCCTGCGCGGCCTCATGAAGAGCTACTTTGGGGGCCTGCTGTGCGTGTGCTGGAGCCCCGATGGGCGCTACGTGGTGACCGGCGGGGAAGACGACCTGGTCACCGTGTGGTCCTTCGCCGAGGGCCGCGTGGTGGCCCGAGGCCACGGCCACAAGTCCTGGGTCAACGCCGTGGCCTTTGACCCGTACACCACGCGGGCGGAGGAGGCGTCGGACACTCACTCACTCACTCTCTAATTCATTCACTCTCATTCACTCACCCACTCACTCA